AGCTGTGACGGGCTGGCGGGAGAGAACAAGCTGTCATCCTGGGCTGCAGTGGGCCCAGGCCAGCCGTGCGGTCCCTGTGTGCAGGGAGAGTGGGCCTCTGCAGAGGACGCCAGGCCATCCTCCTCCATGAGTACAGCCTGGCTTTTCCTACCTGTCTTTACAAGCGTGGCTTCCTTTCGTTTATTTATTTATTTATTTATTTATTTAAATTTATCTTTATTGTTGAAAGTATTACAGATGCCCCCCTACCACCATTTTCCTCCCCAATAAACTAGAGTCTAGACATTCTTCTCAAGCCTCCCACTCAGGAGTTATTGTCACAGATGTTAAGGGAAGCACTGGTTAATGTATGGCTAGGATTGAGCTAATAAATGGGTTCTGTTGGCTTTCAGTTGTGTTCGTTTGTATCTAAACATCAGCTTTGTGGCTGGGAGTGACTGAGAAACTGTGGCCTCAGGAAGGCAGGGCGGGAGGGGGCGCCCATGGAATACCTTGCCTGCCCCAGTGTCTGAGCCCTCGGACTCCCTGGCCCCCAGCGTGGAGAGGGCGACACGGGCACAGTGAGAGTGGCGCTGGGCATCACAGATGAGGGCAGGATCTGAGCTGCACTTCCTCTGATCTTCCATGGCTCTGTGAAAAGGAAACCGGAAGAGCCCAAAGGAACAAGGCTGGATCAGGGCCTTCCCCGCCTTTGCCCAGCAGAGGGCGCAGCCTGCTGACCTGGGAGGAAATTGGGACCAAAGGATTCCAGGTGACAGCTCAGTGCCTCCAAACTCAATGGGAACTCTCCTTGGGACTCAGGGACCTTTTCTCTTAAAGAAGTGAGCCTCTCAGTTTGAGCTGACACTTCTGAAAAAGGGAAGTGCCCACTTTGATGGCCATGCAGGGTTATTTGTTTATAAAGCACCTCCTACCCCCCAAAAAGAGCAGCTTAGCTCCTTGGAAACACACAGAGACTGCATGCAGCTGAGATAGAAGCTCTGTTTTGCAGGTTCCATGTTCCCCCGGGGCACTACCCTGGAAACACGACAGAGTCTTCATCGCAAATTCTAAAGCATGAGGGCTCCCCACTGAGGACTGACACCTCAGGAACTTCATTTCTCAGCAATGCGGCAAGAGGGGTTGTTAGTGGTCACTGTTTAATGTAATCCAAACAAATGTCATCCAGACAAAAGGCCTCCAAACCCTAACCTGATGTTAAATAGATTTGCTAATGTATGATATTTACACCCAGAGCCCCCAAAACACACCTATACTAATGACACTGCATGCAGCCTGGCCCAAACTCACACAACTGGCTTGTGTTGTCAGCAGATCCCAGAGATGTACACAGACACCCAGGGAAAGGAGCGGCTCAAGGCCAAGCAAAACCTGCAGCGCACCCACCGCACAGGGCACACGTAGCGGGCACACGGCTCTGCGCCACCAACAGGCCAGCCCACAGCCCCAAGCGGAATTTAGTTCTTTGACCTTGGCAGATTGTATAGTTTTCCTTGGGGTGCCCTTACCTGTCAAGTCAAACCTACCTGATCTGGGGTGGGGAGAGAAGGCCCCTTCACTTCCCCAAAAGGCAGCTGGAGTCATCAAATGAGAGCACCTTTCTCTTTTTCATAACAAGCCATTGACTCAAGTAAAACTAAGAGAGTCTTGTTTGAAAGTCTCTGCTCCTTCTATGACCTCTGGGTACGAGAGGCTGAGTGACAAACGGCCGTAGCAGCGGTAACAAGCCTTGCTCTTGCACCAGTAATTGGAATTGCATTGCACTTTAAAAGCACCTCTCACTCTTTGCCTCTCTTACCTCACTCACCCCCTTCAAAAACACAACAAAACAAAACAAAACAAAACAAAACAAAACAAAAGGAAACGAAACCCTTTGAAAACTTATGAGTACGAAATTCCTACTCTGAAGAGAGTGAAAGTAACTTTCCTAGGCCCAGGCAGGCAAGAGTTTCTTTAGTCTGCTAGAATACGCAGTGCATTTGGTGATTTCCTAAATGCCTACAGGGAAGGTTTTATTGTCTTACAGCAGGGGTGAGGAACCACTTTTCTGCCAAGGGCCATTTGGCTATTTATAACATCATTCAAAGGCCACACAAAATTATCAACTTAAAAATCAGCCTGCTGCCCTGGCCGGTTTGGCTCAGCGGTTAGAGCGTCGGCCTGCGGTCCGGAGAGACCCGGGTTCGGTTCCCGCTAAGGGCACGTACTTCGGTTGCAGTTTGTCCCCGGCCCTGGTTGGTCGTGCGGTGGCAGCCACTCGATGTGTCCCTTTCACATCGATGTTTCTCTCTCTCTATCTCTTCCTCTCTCTCTCTCCCTTCCACTCTATCTGTACAAAAAATGAAAAAATGTCCTCGGGTGAGGATAAAAAAAAAAAAAAAAGTCAGCCTGCTGTATTTGGTCAGACCCTGAATGAACTCACCCCTAATGCGATGGCCGGAGCTGCTGCTCTGTGGTGAGGCCGTGACGTCAGCTGGTGTTGGTGATGTTGCTACTCTCAACTGCTTTTCCAGGTTAGCGTTGGTCAGTCTGGAGCGCAGTGGACTCTTTGCGTGGGTAAGTTTTTAAAAGAACTGCTTGCAGCAGTAAGTTGTTCCAGACACAGAGGCATATTTCAACACATGTCTCCTCAGAGTGGGAAATTCATCTTTGCTCATTGAAAGTTTATAGAAGTCAAGCAGCAGAAGGTGGTTGTATCTAGCTGTCAGCTCTTCATCACTTTGCAGCTGAATGATTTCGTGTTGTAGGTTATCAGGCACCTCAGCTGGTTCCACACTGAAGGTGTAGCAAAGATGTTCAATACTATTTGTTTACTTTTTTTTTTTTTTTGGTACATGCCTCTAGCAGGAATCAAACCCAGGACTCTCTGGTCCAACCACTGAGCCAAACCGGCCAGGGCCTATTTGTTTACTTTTAATGTCCTTGAATCTTTCATTAATGATTCAGTTAATTTTGGATGTTCACCAGCATACGTATCTGTCATAGAAGGCTTTCGTTCTTCCAGAGTGGGGAAACGCACCGTGTTACTCCTTTTGAGTTGCAGTTTCCACAGCCTTAATTTACCTTCAAATGATTTCATGTTTGAAAGCAGGAAGCTGAGAAGCTTGTTGATGTTCAGCTCTGAGAGGTACTTGGTAATGTCCAATGAGAACACTAAATTACACAGCCACTTGCTGTCATTGAGTTCCCTGACAGGTTTTCCCTTCATCTCCACGAACTGCTTGATTTCATCCCTCAATTTGTAAAACCTCATGAGCCATGTTCCCGTGACTCAGCCACTGCACTTCACAGTGATAAACAAGATCACCGTGCTCAGAGTCAAGATCATTCAATAACTCCTTAAACTGGTGGCTGTTAAACCCTCTGCTTTGGACAAATTTATGCATGACACTACTGTTGACATCACATTGTTGAGCCACAACAATTGTGCACAGAGACTTCCTTGGTGTATGATGCAGTGGCATATAATTAAATCACTTGGATCAAGACTGAGATGATTCAATTCTTTTTTGACAAATGCAATTAACTCTCTTTGTGAGCCAACTATAGCTGGAGCTCCATCTGTAGCAAGGCTACTTAACTTTCCAAATGTTAACTCAGGTTTTCTCATTGACAAAATAAGTCTCTCAAACAAGTCCTCACCTCTAGTTGTGCCATCATGGCTTCTAGTGACAGCAGTTCCTCTCGTGTGTCATACTCTGCAGTTATCCCATGAATGAAATGGCCAGTTGGGCAGAATTTGTTATGTTCGTTGTCTCTTCACAAGCCAGAGAGAAAAATTGGAAATGGTCTGCAGAATCCTTCAGTGTGTTTTCAATGTCTTGTGCTAAGTCAGTAATCTGATCTGAGACGGTTCTCAGAGACAAACTAACACTGAAACAATTTTACTTTGTCTGGTGCTAACAGCCACCACACACTCCCTCTGCACAAGGCCTCAATTCTACACAACTCGTCCAATAACGTTGTCTCTGTCACAACAAGGCCTACTGAAAGCGGCTTGTGACCAAGCTTTGCTGAAGAGCATTGATTTTATCCAGACATATTTCGCCTCCCAATTCCTTGAGTTTAGCATGTTTTGAGCTGTAATGATGCTCCAGATTGGCGTTTCCATTACTGCTAACGCATCGCCACAAACTAGGCACACAGGTCTGCCTTTGACTTCAACAAAAAAATAATCATTTGTCCATTGGAAAGATCAACACTCTGAATCAACTTTTTTTTTCTGTGTAGTTGCCATTTGTAGGATGTCACACCACTTGTTTCAATAACTGTCCAGTGTGTGTGTTGCCAGTGACAAGATTATTTTGCTTTGATCACTGCACTAATCCTGCATCTTGGATTTGGAACATATCCAATGTTTGTATTATTGACTCTTGAGGTCTTTTCTATGTACTTTAATTTCCTTAATATTCATCTGAGATTCAGTTTTTTCCAGAATTATTGATGGTGGACATGTGGATAAAGGTTGGATTGGAGTTAACATCTGTGTCACAAAGAAGTTGACAACATTGTCATCAATCATCGGAGGCAAGGTCATCAACATTGCGAGGAATCATCTCATCCCATCTTGTCATCACTGGATCACTGTAGTTTCACCGCAGTGTGTTAACACTTTCAGTGTGTACACTCCCAGCCTGCCTGGCACTGGCTGTCCTCTGCGTCACCACAGTACAGGCAGACGAGCCGCAGGCAGCCGATGAGAAGCATAGGTATCTGTCCTGTCATGCACTCGTATGTGTCCTGTCTATCCTATAACAGACATTTCTTGCTTGTCCCTCAAAATTTATGTTATTATTGTGATTCACTTAATATAAATTTATGTTGCTATGAAAAAAAGCTCCTAGATTTATTGAATTGCGAGTCCCTCCTGTGGTTGCCTTGGCAGGGCCAGACCAAATGATTTCTCGGGCCTTACATGGCCTGCGGGCTGGAATTTCCTCACCCGTCTTACAGCATGCCTTTCTGCAAGTGTGTGTGCTGAAGGGCGTGGTTCTCAGTCTTCATCGCAGGTTCATCTCCACCGGGACCACACACAGAAAAACCGCTGCGCAGGACAAGACCACGCAGTTAGCTTGAGGTCCCCTACCACAAAGGGGTACAGGCTGTTGGAAAGAGGGAATACAACCAAGCACATAATCAGAAAAGACCCAGTAATTCCCCAGAGTTAACCAGGGGAAGAGGAAGAGGCGAATGTAATATTTATGTGAGTTTTGCCTCCAGAGATATTCATAATCATTCTCAACCACCACAGTCTTGGCCATAAGCTGCTCATCCTGGTGAAGTCATACAGCAGGAGAGACACCTCGGTTGTGGCAGGGAGCCAGAGGTCAGAGGTCAGGGGGCAGAGCAGCAAAGTAGAGGGAAGAGGGGGGAGAAGGTGAGAGAGAGAGAGAGAGAGAGAGATTGAGAGATTGAGAGATTATAAGAAGCAAAAAGGAAGGCATCAATCCTAAGTCAGCATCCTTGGTGGCATTTTTATTTTAGATATATGAGTTGCTTTGGACAAGGAAGTATTTGACTGAAGTTCGTCTCTGCACCCAGAGTTCCGCTAGTGCTCTGGTTCACTTCATTGGCCTTGAGGTCAGTTCCTTGTCCTCCCTGGCTCCAGTGACCTACTCTTTCTCCTGCCATGACCACACCTGGGATCTAGTCACCAGCTGGAAGTGCCCCTGCCCCCTCATTAAGTATTTGTTGTTTAAGTCTCCCTGTCAGTGGCATCTCGTTATAGCAGCCTGAGCTGACTGATACAGAGACTAAGTGCTTTTGGTCATGTCGTCTTATTTAAAACAACCCTGTGGAATGCACATGACTTTCCTGGTTTTAGAAACAATGGAATTGAGGACCAGAGAGGTGAAGGGGCCTGGCCAAAGTCATACGTGTAAAAAGTGGAAAAGCCGAGTGTCCCGCCAGGTCTGCCTCCAGCCGCAGCTGGCATCCCTTCCACTGAGTCCTGTGTCTTCGTCTCTTCCCTCAGCTTCCCCACGGTGACCTCAAAGGTGGCCCAGGCCCTCTTCCCACTCTGCAGAGTCCCTGAGTCACCCCATCCACCCACGTGCTGATGACACCCAAGTCTGCAGCTCCTTTTCAGAACTTTCCCCCAAACTTCAGACTTGTGTGACTTCAAGTAGGCAGCTCCACTAAATATCCTCAGGCCTCTGGCTCATTATGTTGAAACATAACTTGTCTTCCATATTCCTGTCATTTGGTGACATTGTCTAAGCTGGAAACCCAGTGCTCCCCACTCGTCACCCCATATAATCATCAATTTTTATCCTGCTGATTATACCTCCAGTAATCGTCCCCCACTAGCCTGGAAGGGCAGGAGCCAGCTGTGTCTGGCTCAGCACTGTGCCCCTGTATGGGCAGCGTGTGGGGCGTGGCCCATTAGAGGAGCCCTATGCTTGTGTCCAGCACACGAGCGCTTCTCATCCTCCTGCACGGCCTGTGTGCTCCTCTCTCTAGCGCCCGATTCACGCTATCCTCTCTGCTCCCCAACTTGATGCTTTCATATGCATCTAGAAAGAGGTTACCTCCTCCAGGAAGGGTGCCAGGACTTCTCTGTGCTGGGTTAAGAAGCTCTCTTCTGGGTTTCCATAGTTTTCCATGTGTATGTCTATGATTTTGTTACCACACTCGATAGTAATTATCTGTTTATGAGCCTCTTCCTGAAGGGTTAGAGGCTCCAGGACAGTAAAGACTAATAATTGATTTTTGGACTTGGAAATATTGAGGCCATTGGGACCTCGATGAGGTTTATAGGTGAGCAAATAGGAGGAGAGGGTGGGGAAGCCAGTGCAGACAAAGCTTAAGAAATGTGAAAAAAATAAATAAAAGAAGAAACCTGGCCGAGGAGGGAAAAAAGCACTCGGAAGGGATTTCTGTGTGCAGAGAAATTGTTGGAGCAGAGACTGCTGTGACTATTACAGCAAAGGAGTGGCCTCTCCCCAAGGGACCAGGTGTGAAAAGCTGTGGGCAGGAGCCCCATGGCCCTCCACTTGGCCCAACGTGAGCATGTGCACCTGCATGTGCAGTGTGTATGTGTGCGCACACTCATGGGCTCGCTGGGTGTGTCACATGGTGTCCCAGCTACTTCATGCTTATTCCAGACTCACAGACACAGGCAGAAGTAAGGATTCGCGATGGGGCCTGGAAGAGCTGTTGGATCAGCACAGAGTTAGCCTCACGGAGGAACCTTCTAACCTTCTCCTTCCCTCCTCCGCACGGTTTCTTCCGCCACAACCCGTGGCTCACACCACGGGGATGCCCTTTGCTCCTGCTCTCTGACCAGGGTCCCAGCACATCCCTCACTGTCTCCCATCCCCCAGCTCCTTCCATCTGCCAGTCGCTGTGCCATGTGGCAGCCGATTGGATGGACCGTGTCTGTTGTCCTGACACGGTCCCGCCACAGGCGACACAATGCCTGTGCCTAGTGGATGTCAGAGGACCTCTCAATAGGCTCTTCCCTCTTGTGAGGACCCCCCAGCAGATGTCCCTGCTGCCTCCAGGCTACGTCACAGGCCTGCTCAGTCCAGATACAAGGGTCCTTTCCTCCTTCCCCACACCCAGGCCTCCACCCAGCTGGCTCTCCTCTTGATGTTTTCATCACTCGCATCTCAGGGCCCTAGGATTCCAGTGGGGCTGTGGAGCAAGTCCCTCCTGTCCTTACATTCCTGTCAAGTCAGGAGCACAGACCCTTGTCCTTTGAGTGACGCCCTTGCTAATTACTCTTAGGGGACAAAGACCATCTTGCCTTTGGTGAATGGTTCCTGGCTCCATCCTGACACCCCTGTGAAACCCTGCTCCCATTTTATTACACAAAAGACCACCATCCCCACCCAACTCTGACTGGCCTTGATGTCTTTGTCGCAAGTGTTCCCTTTGGAAACACAACCATGAAACAACACACGTCTTCTTTGCTAAGGAATCCTGGTTTCCTGTCTTCTTGTTTAACAACTTAATCTTTAGCGTCTTTTGAAAACCTACTTTGTTTATCCATTCTTGTTCAAATTCCCAGGCTCCCCACCTCCTCTAAGATCAACCTCAGCACTTCCACCCCATGGACAGTGAGGCTTCCGAAGAACCCTTTGATAACTGAGAGTGTGGCGGGTCGGCGAGGGGAGAGATTCTGAGCGTGAGTGGAATCAAAGGGCTGATGGAGCAAGAGATGTAGCAGACTGGGCTCCAATCGAGGCAGTGAAGTTGGATAATATCAAGAGACGGAGAGCAGATGAGCTCAAGCTGTGCCATTGGGTGGATGACGAGTTCAGGTTGGACTTGTCATGTTTAGAGTTCTAGATGGAAAGTAGGTGCTGGTGGCCAGCGGGGAGGCAGAGTCAGAGCCTGGAGCTGGAGTGAGAGGCAAGGGCTCGCGGTGGAGACCTCGAGCGACGTGTGCAGAGAGAGTGACGCTGGGCTGGGTGTTGTACAAAGGGAGCTGGGATAAGTGCCTGATGTACATCATCTCGGTGAATTCTCCTAGTAACACAAGGCAAGAGGTATTTAAATAAATATATGCATGGGGGGCCAAAAAAGGAGCCATCAGCCAAAATGGCAACAGTGAGTTTCTCTGAGTGGTGGAATTTACTGGTGTTTATTTGTACTTTCTTATATTCTTTCTTAATAATTTTTAAATTAATTTTAGAGCGAGAAGAAGAGAGAGGGAGAAAGATAGAAACATCGATGAGGGAGAACATCGATTGGCTGCTCCTGCATGCCCCCCACTGAGGATTTGGCCCACAACCTGGGCATGTGCCCTGACTGGGAATCAACCCGGCGATGTCTTGGTGCAGGGTCATCGCTCAACCACTGAGCCACATTGGCTGGGCTGTACTCTGTTATCTCTACAATGATGAGTTACTACCTATAAAAAGGTGACAAAATCTAAGTGGTCAGTCCAATGCTTGACCTGTATGATCTCATTCAATGCTTGTACTAACCCAGGAGCTGTACATTATTATCTCTGTTTTCTGGATGAGAAAACCCAGGCTCAGAGAAGTCATCACATCACCCAGGTCCATGGTGAGTAAAGGATGAGATGGGTGTCAGTCCACACCTTGGACCACTGTCTACAGCACACTATACTGATACTTAAACCAGAGCATGTTAAGTCAAAGAGATTCTCTTCTATGCTGGGACAATGCTCCCATTTGGTCCATTTGCCCAGGTTTTCTAGGAGTGAGTCTTGCAGTCTGTCCAGGAGGGAGAACGTTTTCATGAGAAAAGAAAAGTGAGGGCTTAGAGGGGTACAGAGAGCCGACTGCATAGGCTGACTCGTCCAGGAAGGGATTCTTGGAAGAGGTATATGCCCTGGACCCTCTGAGCAGGGAGAGGTGGGAGGGACCTCTTTGGAATGGGATGGTGTAGTAAAGGCAAAGAGTTTGGGGAACAGGAGAAAATCAGTTTGAATGGGGCAGGGCAGCCAAGGGGACTGTGGGGTTGGTAGGCACAGGTTGCATTCCAGCTCCACCATTACTTTGTGTAAACTCAAGAGGAGCGACCTCTTGGTCTCAGTTTCCTCATCTGTAATCTGGAACTGGTGCAGTTTAGGTCTTAGTTACTCAGCACCCATTTCTTCCTGGCAGGGCCCCATCCGTCGGGGCTGTGCTCCACGCATCACATGTGTACGGGAGGTGGACTCCTGGTGCCTGCCCTCCCAGGTCTGTGGGTCTGGCTACCCTCTCAGGAATGGTTCTTGGGCACAATGACGCCCGGAGAGAGGAATTAGGTGGGCTGCTGGCCCAGGTAGGTCCTGCCACCCAGGCTTTCTAGAGTCACCCAGTTCCTCTCTCTTCCAGCAACCTTTGAAGTATGAGCTTTTCCAAGAAATTAACCCTTATGTTAGCCAGAGTTGATTTTTCTTGTTCCTTCTTGATACAGGTGACTGCCTCAAAGGGATGTTGTGAAGACTGACTGCTCAAAGTAGGGGCACGGCCCTTAACATGATGCCCTGCACACCATAAGCCACTCGCTGGGTGCTGGAATTATTCCTGAAAAGGACATTGGAAGATGCAGTGGAGTGTCAGGTAGGCAATGGCCACTAAATCAGTGTTTCTGAAACTTTGTTTTAACACTCAGTTACAGATACGCTTCATACGTGACTTAGTGATGGGGGACTGAATGTTCTCGTTGGCTCAGAAAGGTCCTGTTTATGCTGGCATGATTATTATTAGCCCCCCTTGTACTCTGAAAGTGTCCCAGTTTGGATGACAAATCATATAATCAACTTACCCACACACACGTGTGTATCACACAATACTTACCCTACTGAGAGGCACTCTAATAATTCTTATTTTACTTTTTAAAAAGTGGTCAAAACTTATTAAATTCATTTTATGATCTTCTAATGGGTCATGACCCTCCATTCTTTTTGGTAACTCTGGGGAATGTCAACTCAGTTTTCTCTTCAATAAAATGCAATACTGTGGTGCTCCCTGATGCATTTCAGAAAGAATGCTGGGCATCGCTGGACAGTGTACTTGGGGGCTTAAATGTGAGCATTGATGTCACTAGTAAATGTCTCTGTCCGAGGTTTTATGAACCTGTTTGCTGTTGTGCTGATGATGGTTATAGACTCACTGTATAGTACCTCACTATAATGAGTACAAAAATTTAATTTGGCTTCAAACAGTTTTAGATTGCTGGGGGGGAAATCAATGATGTTTATTTGGGCCCTAGTTTGTTCATTAAAATAAATTACCTTTGTGTTCTGGGCTGGCTTTCATAAAGGAAAGTTTGCTGTTATTAAGAGGAACAGACCCCAGGGATAGTAACATCTCTAAAGGAAAGTTCAGCCCAGCTGGTGTGGCACAGTGGACTGAGCATCGTCCTGTGGACTGCGAGGTCCCGGTTTGATTCCCAGTCAGGGCACATGCCCGGGTTGTGGGCTCCATCCTCAGTGCCAGGCGTGCAGGAGGCAGCCGATCGAGTTTTCTCTCTCACATTGATGTTTCTATCTCTCCCTTCCTCTCACTATAGAAAATCAATAAAAACATATTAAAAAGAAAGAAAGTTTTGCTAAGCAGCCTGATGAGAGACAGTGGTGAGAAGGGTCAGAGCCGAGGTAATTGCTGCTGGAACCTCTCCCCGCTTTGAGCATCGCTGTGGTGTTCAGTCCGTCAGAGCCTTGCCCTAACCCCGTGGGGCCACGGCGAGATGCATCCTGTTGAGCTGAGAGCCTTTGCACTTCTTTGGAGCTAAACAGAGTCCCAGGTGGATCCCACAGGGATGTTATTATTGGGAAGATCACAGGTATTTGTACATTCCAGATTATTACCCTCCAAATGCTGTCAGGAGATGAGGGCATTTAATAGTGAGGTAACCTCAGACACAAAGGACTCCAAACACTTGCCCCGGGTCAGTCACATTTCCCATGACAGAACTGAGCATGTTGTACTGACTGCACATGAGAACAGAATCTTGAAGACATTCCTTTGATGTTTTAGATCAATATCATGACCAGTGTCACTGGCCAGCATTGTCGGAGGGCCCAAGAACCAGAGGAAGCTGGCAAAGAAATCAGACAGTGGGTCCAGATGAAATTTTATCTGTGGCCCTTTTGATTCTGTTTTTTTTCTAGTGTTATTGGTTCATTTTTATGAAACCATTTTGGGAAATTGTGTTTTCTAACTTTTGATATAGGAAGCTTTGGGGTGGGCTTGGATGGTTGGGAAGGGTCATTGATAAATGAAGGTCAACCCAAGGTACATTTAGCAAGTGTGACATTTCTGTTGGACAGGGATTTTGGAAACTTAACTGCAGGCTGTAAAAGACCCCTGATGTGTCTTCTTTGGTCACTTTTCCTCTTTAAACAGATGTCAAGCAAATCAGCCCCCTACTGACATAGTTTGCGAGTAATAAAAAATCGCTCCTAGCCCCAAACACCAGAGTTTGTTGTTTCACTCATGACTGCAGCGCGTCCGTTCTGTGCTAGCCACTTGAGAATTAGGAGCTATAGTTAAAAACAGAAACAAGAACTGCTGAAATCAAACACATTTTAATTGAATGCAAACTCTCCTGTCTTACACAGGAAACTTTCCAAAAGAAGCCCAGGGAAAGGCTGCGATCACACTGGCCAAATTCAATGGCATGATTGGCAGCTGGCAACTGCTCTGCATCAGCTGTTAAAGTTAGACCAGAGCCACAACTTAGCACGCTGAACTCCAGCAGCAGGAAGGAAGCCACTGCGGGCACGGCTCTGGGTGAATGTTGCTCATCTGGAAAAACTCACATCTCTGCAGTAGGTCTCAAAATGCACCTCACCCTGCTGCTTTGACAACCATGAGCTTAGGGGAAAGTTATTCAGGCCTCTTTGACAATCAAATGATGCATCCCATGGTGCCTGTAAATTAAATTTCTCCAAGAACTACAAACAATGGATAATTGCACTTTACCTTTAAGGCCCCGATGATCACACCCACTAGCAGAGAGAGAAATGTGGGGCTGTGTGGGGCAGATCTCCAAAAACTTCATTCCCACAAAAGGAAGAGACCAGAAGAGGACTGAGAGAAATGCATTTGAGGGCACAGTGTCCAGTTAGGAAAATTAAGTAAATGTCTATAAAAGCCAAAATGTTCATTACACAAACCATCACTTGATGCCCTGCTTGGGAAGTCTGCTCAGTCTCATGGGCCAGCTGATCTTCAGGATGCTCAGTGGACTGAACACTAGTCCACTGGACCTTGGACAGAGCAGGGAGCAGACATTGCTGTACCTGTTGCCTAGGTATTCACTGGTTGTGGGTGTGCTCTGCTTGTATGAAAAGCCAGCGTATGATGACCATGTTTTCAATGGTTCATTTTACAAAGAATCTATTTAGATATTCAGGTCCCTCACTATGCTTAAAATAAGATCCAATGTGTAGGTCACATTCTCAAAATATATCCACTGTGCAAACTGAGGCTCACAATTACTCTGCTTCCAGGACACAGGTATTGGGAAAGAGCCGGCAAGCACCATATTGTCATCATTGACTAATTCACTCACCCATCCCTAAATGTTTATTGACATTTCTGTAGCCACTAGATTTGGAAAACCACCAAATCAATGGTCCCAGACCCACACACTTTCTTAATGAAATTTTTTTCTCCCTGTAGCAATGCTTTTTCTACTTTTCTCAGGTCTTTGTCTGCTGGGCCTATTATTAACCAATGGTGACATGATGTCTTATTTAGAATATAAGAAAGAAATGCCTGTTTCCCTCAGTGACCAATCTAGCTCAAACAACCAGGCTTCAGAGGGGCTCCAGCACACTTCTCGTCTGTGCAGAGACACTGCTCAGCATGTGCCCCTCACATTCCCCAGCCTGCTGTGGGTCTGGAGGGCTGTGGGGCACTCTGGGGCCAAAACATTTAAAAACTGACACACAGCCCTTTGTTTTTTTCCCCTCCTTTGACCTCCTGGAAGGCAGGGGTGAGATGGTCAGCTGTCAGTTGAAGCAGGTTGGGGTATCACATCATCACGTCATTGCCCAGGGTCCTGGAGAGGCTTCTGATCCACACTGGAGTTTGTATGAGCAAGAAATAAACCTGTGTGGAATTAAGCCACTGAGATTCCAGGACTGATTTGTTACCGTAGCACAGTTAAGCAACTCTGACCAATACATTTGTCAACAGAGCAAGAAAGGGGAGCTCACTGTAGAACTAAGGTTTTCTGTTTTAATGACACTTGAAGTTTTAGCTTTCATTCTACATTTTATTTCCCATGAATGCCTTGGTACTTAAGTAAAGGTAATAAATTTAAACAACTTTTCTATGACTACAGCACATTCCATTAAAATTGATAAAAATTTCTAAGTATACAAAGACCCACCAATTCAGAGCCCAAAGCAAAGGAAAGTCCAGTGCATACTGACTCAGCCATCAGCCTGCAGAGGCTCGCCTGCCCGGATCTTCCTGATGGTCGCAAAGCCCGTCACTGGGTGGAAATACTTCCCAAGACTCAACACAACTTTTTCACACAAAGGCCTTTAAATACTTGATGCCAAATTGATTGGGTATAAACTGCTTTTCAACTTAAAACCCAGCTGTGAAATGAACATCGAGTAATAACTTATATATCTGCTCATTCCTAATGAACGAAACAGCTGCTGCTCACAGACGAGTCAATTGATGCACAGATGGCTTAAGAGGATCCTAATAAATTTAATAAAAACCTCTTCCCCTGCGCTCTCCACGTTATTGCTTAGAACCCACCTTACCTCTAGGTTTTCTTTTTGTCTCATCTGTAGTATCAGAATTATCCTCTTTAGACTTTAGAACTCTCCCCAGTGCACTTGATCACAACTACCAAATGTCCTTTTTTTTCACTCATATAATAGAGTTTTAAAAATTATTTTATTTTTTTTTTTCAGATAGAGTGGGAGGGAGAGAGAGGAAGAGAGAGAGAGAGAAACATCGATGTGAAAGGGACACATCAAGTGGTTGCCACCTGCACGACCCAACTAGGGCCGGGGACAAACTGCAACCGAGGTACATGCCCTTAGCGGGAACCAAACCCAGGTCTCTCTGGACCACAGGCCAACGCTCTAACCACTGAGCCAAACCGGCCAGGACTAAAAATTATTTATGTTTTTATTTTGATCATATATATGTATATACATATATCTCCATATTAACATTTTCAGTGGCACTAATTGCATTCATGATCTTGTGCAACCACTGTTTATTTCCAAAATGTTTTCACCACCCCAAACATAAACTTTATAACCATTAAGCAGTAATTCCCCAATGCCTCCTTCCCACAGTGAATGTAGTGATTTTAACATAATGTCTATGGGAACTGGATTGTGGGGTCTTGTCTCATGTATGCAGTCTTGTTAGTAAATGAACTGTTCTAGTTAAGTTAATTTTCCAAATAACAAAACCATAGGCTCCAAAGTTTTTTATTTTATTTTTATTTTTACTATCTTTTATTATCTTAATAGATTTTGCATGGAACATTTCCTAAGGGTACTCCTGACTTCCTAATAGCAGGGTATAGCTAACATCTTGTAAACTCTTCTTGATAGAGCCCTAGAATAAAAATTAATTTTTTAAAATCCTCACCCAAGTATATGTTTTTATTGATTTTAGAGAGACAGGAAGGGAGAGCGAGAGAGAAACATCAACCAGTTGCCATCCATACATGCCCCAACTGGGGATCGAACCCATAACCTGGGGTATGTATTCCTGGTCAGGGTATGTACCCTGACCAGGAATTGAACCTGTGAACTTCCAGCATACGGGATGATGCTCCAACCAATTGAGCCACCTGGCCAGGGCAGTAAATGCTAACCTTTGAACTGCAGTCTAACAATGAGGCCTATCGAAGTGGTTGAATTACCCTTACACTAAATGGCCCCAGACTACATGGCTATTTTAGTTTTGTGTAAACTTAAGAATTTTATTTTGTTTTTTATTTCCTGTCAAGCTGTCAGCTTTCACTTGGTATTAATCTAAGAGTACTGTTTTTATATTAGTTTTTGTTTTTTAGTATTGTTGCTTTTTTATTGAGGTGAAATTCACATAACATAAAATTAACCATTTTAAAGTGAAAGATTCAGTGGCATTTAATGTATCAACAATGTTGTGTAACCATCACCTCTATCTGATTCCAAAACCTTTCATCACCCCCAAAGGAAAGCCACATCCATTAGCAATCAGGGTATTGGGGGTTTTGCAACAACTCTTATGACCTTTAAATTTCTGCTCCAACATGCTGTGAACTTGGAACCTATAGCACCAGTTTGCTAGGCCTCTGTGTAAACAGGTAGCTAGAGTGTGGGCCTGAGCTCAGGGCTCCCATTGACAACATTCAGGGGCTGCGTTTACTTTCATTAACATGTGATAATGATTTTTGGCTACTCAAGGAGCTTCCCACCCGCTCAACTTCTCCCATACTTGACACATCTGGATAATTGAGGTTGTTTAATATATGTGGCTTGTGGGTGTATTTATCCTTTATTAAACAAAACAATGTATAGAGCCCTACACATTACCATAGCCTAAGACGCATTTCTCATATTGCTCACCACGAGCTTCTGCATGGAGCCATAGCACTCGGAAGGGGCCTTAGGAAAATTCTAGCCCAGGGGCTCTCATCCTGGGCTAGAGGTATCAGAATCATCCGGGGACAGATTTTAAAAAGCAGATGTCTGCCTGAATCCCAGACATAGCACACCATATCTCCCAGGGCAGAGCCCAAGACTCTGTCTTTTAAAAACGTTCACCGCATAATTCTGTTGTGACTGATAGTGTTTGGAAATCATTGGTCTGGCTAGCTCTTCTTTTTAAAAAATATTTTTTCTTTATTGATTATTTTAGAGAGAGGTAGAGAGAGATGGAAACACCGATGAGAGAGACATCGACTGGCCACCTCCTGCATGCCCCCCACTGGGGATCTGGCCCATGACCCAGGCATGTGCCCTGACTGGGAACTGAACCAGTGGCCTCTCGGTGCATGAGTCAACGTTCAGCCACTGAGCCACACCGGTGGACATGGCTAGCTCTTCTTCATCACACATCTTGTGTTTAAAGACGAAGTGCCACCATCCCATGGCTCAACTCAGCTGACTTTTGGCGTCCTACAGCTCAGCAGCCAGCACAGCAAAGCGAAGAGTGCAGAAGCAGAGCAGGCTTAAGAAGAAGGAACAGGCACTGGGTTAGAAACACATGGACCCTTTCATTGCCTTTTCACTGTGGTTCATTTATGCTGTCCGTGAAACCTGACCTTCTCTCCAGTTAGCAGCAGAACTCAGCAGGTGGCAGAGGGAGGTCACTGCTTGTCTGGGGCTTCTGAACAGGAGGGAGGGTGTGCAAGCCAAGACTTGCATCTTGAAGAGAGCTGAGTGTCTGCTTGTGATCATGCTGCCAATTCTAAGGCCCAGATTCCCTGCACAACTGCTCCAAAGCCTGATAGCTTCTAGCAAAGGCGTTTACAAACTGCTGCTCTGCCAGTGCCAGGATGCCAGGAGGTGCCAGCGTTAACCAGGCCAGACAGGGTCAACCCTGTGCTTCCTGGAGACTAGATCCACGGCACATGGGTCTTCCCTCCCCTGAGTACAGTCACTGACAATTCCTGTATCACTCAAACCATTTGCTTTATGAAGTCTTTTTTTCCTGTCCATTTACTTGGCTACGTATTCCACAGTGTGTGATATCAGATGGTCTCCTCAGACTCCTAATTGACAAGAATAGAGCTCTGAACTGGCTTGGGATGCTTGTCTTTGTTCCTGCTACCAATTCACCCTCTGGCAGTAGGAAAGGGCAGAGGTGTGGGAGTGATATAGGCCTGGGTCCAAATCCTGGCTCTGTCATTCATTAGCTGTGTGCTTTGTGGCAAATTAGTTGACTTCCTGAAGTCTCCTTTTCCTCTGTTGAATGCATTAGCAGAGGCACTCGTGAGCTCAGTATAAGGCAACATTGCGATTAGGCATTTACTTCCTTTGGCTGGTTTCTGGTTTCCTCATCTGTAAAATGACCTGCAGATAGAGGTTATGCTTGGCAAATATTTTTTTAAATTATGAATTTGAATGCCTTTTGTGTAGGCTTGCACCCCAGCTCCCTGTTTTAAAGTTTAGACGGCACCACATATTTATGTCTTCTGCTAGATCCTGGTGCCCCCTGACAGCAGAGAGAGGGTCCCTGAGGTGGATGCCATGGGGGCCTCCTCAGCGTTCGCTTCTTCCTCTCTAGGTCCCTCCACCTCCCCCCTCCCCATCGTCCTATGTAGTCCTGTGTTCTATCTAGCACAGGCTAAAGCCACCCTGGGCTTTGGACAAGGGCGTGAGGTTTAGCCCTAAATTAATTGTCAGAGATGCACTCACTGGATATATTATGAGTTGGTGGAGGGCTCATGACTTGTTTGGGGCCAGCACACTCAAGGGGAGATTTATTGAGAGTAAGGAAAAGGCTTTCTCAGTCTTCTGATAGAACTTCAAGAAACAAGGCATCTCTCCTTTCCTGGAGATGGGTGAGGAAACAAGTTGCTCTGGGCCGTCTGGCCACCATC